TTTAATTGACTTTTTCTATAAATTTAATGTGACTGGCAAATGACAGTTCAGTGATTCAGTGTTATCAGTTAGCTTTATTGAAAGACTGACAGATAATAAGAAACTGCATTAGGATATTTTTTTTTTTACTGTTTTTACTGTTGCACACATAAAAAAAATCTTCAGATATCAAATGTAGGTTAATTCTATGGAGCCCACTATTTTTTGCAATTTTACCAATGTTTTACTTACCTGCAAATAATTATAGCTGTAATTGTATCTAATGTTTTTCTTACCTGGATGTGAAGTTTGAAGATCCACAGGTAACAAAATCACTTTGGTATCTAAAGACCAAGAACATGCATTTTAGAATGAGGTGCATACAGTTTAAATGGTTCTGTAAACATCAGTAAATGTAATTTAAGTTAAAATAAATTGTAAATCTGTAATTTATTCACTATGCAGCATTAAAAAAAACTTATGGAATAAATCTCTAAAACACAAACTTTAAGTTGTACTTTCTCTTACGTTAAACACAAACTACTTAACTGTTGCATATGTTTCTGCATTTAATATCCATCCTTAATGTGCTGCTATAACTTAGGTGAGCTAACTTTAGCTAAGTTAGCGCTAACAAACTGAACCCCCACAGCCCGACCGCCCACCAGTGACCTTGTCAATCGGTTCTGTAACGTTAGTTATACCTACTATTTGTTTTAAAACTACTTTCACTATTTTTCTCAATAATATCACTTTTAATCGTTAGCATAAACTAGCGTTGGTTAGCGTTAGCCAACTTAGCTTTCCATGTGAGAGCAGTCTAACTGTTAACATACCTAAGGCTACAGTACAATTTACAAAGCTAAAACCTCACCTGCCTAGCGAAGACAGCAGTTTTGCATGACTTTACAATTATCATTCGGCTACATTTGCAACTTACCGTGTTAATCAGATCCGCTGCTGGGAGCAGTTAATGTCGACCATTGCAGAAGCTGCGTCTGCCTGCTAAATCCCGGGCAATGAAAAAGGAGTCACGCCAAACTATTAAAATCACGTTTTATGAACACCTGCCCACATCGACAGCTGCTCTAATAAATTGTCTGTGTCAACTCACTTTTATAACATTTATTCTACACAATAACCACGTAAAAAAATCTACTCAAATAAATTGCATTAGTTTTATTCAAAATATACAGTTATATAAAAACTGATATATTTTAAGTAAAGAGGAAGCAAATTTTATTTTTTTGGTATAAAACAAATAAAATTAACTAGATTGCAATTATTTAAAGTAGATAGAACCAACTTTGTGAGTGTAGCACTTTTTACAGTGTGTAAGCCTGTTCATTCACAAATTATGCATGAAGTGAAAGTCAAAGTCTCTCTTTGTTTATATTTGTGTGAACTATTTCATATTTTTTTTATAAAAAAGACAACAAATTTATATATATATATATATATATATATATATATATATATATATATATATATATATTGTTAAAGGTTTAAATGAGCATTTCATACAAACATTTTAGAGAAAATTTCAGACAGATGGACCTTCAAAAATTGATTGGAGAAAGAGGTGGACCCCGAAGTGAAAAAGGTTCAGAACCTCTGCACTAATACAGCTATTATTAAATTACAAAATAGCACCAAACAGTCAATAACTGCAGCATGACAGATAAGCATAAATATGGATGTGAATGTCATATTCACTTACGGAAAAGTGGTTACGATTTGAAGTGGTTTGTGACTGAACAATCAGGTATTCCAGAGAGCCACATAATAAAGGGTTTTAAGCAACATAGGCTCATTCTGAAAACATAGCCCTATTTAGGTTTTTGGAGATTGCCAATTAAGTAGACAGAGCTACATATGGCTCCATTTCGTCTTTAAAACGAACACTACGGGGCTGTATGACGCCGTGCTTGCATGACGGTGTTCCTTTTCTTGCTTACCAGCTGACCGATTACCTTTGTATAGATGGCTTTTCCGCTGTTAGTCCAATTAGCTCAATGCGTATGTTGGCGCACAAGAGATGCAGAAAGGAGGCGACAGGGTTCAAGTCAGGTTCAGAATGATACCAGAAAGCAGATAAGACAAAAGTCAAAAAATAAAATAAACAAGTAAATAACAGGGTGAGAATGTGGTAAAATCTGAAAATGTGGTAAAAATCAGGGGGCTTTTCTTTTTCTGGATTGCTTTTCAAAACACTGCGGTTGGATTTAGGGAAGTGGGGGATGGGTCAATAAGTGCTTTTTAAAATATTAATGGTTGGGTTTTGGGAAGGGGGGTGGAGGGATTGGTCAGTTGGTCAGTCAGTCATTCAGTCAGTCGAAAGCGGCTTCTGGTGGATTTACATGAGAACAGCAGGTGCGAATGGCACTCGTCAGAGAAATTTGAGATATGAAAAAACATACACAGCAGCCTCTGGCAAATTTGCGAAAACAAAAACTGCAAAAAAACTTAGCTCTCTTCAAAAGTGTGGTATGCAATCAGAATAAGCCTGGGTTGGTTTTAAGATATGAGGGAGAGTAAATGAGAAAGTAATTCTTTTCAATAAACTATTGCTTTAAGTTCACATGCTTTTAACTGAAAATAAACAATGGACCCAAATTGGGCCAAATTTGTATGCTACATATCAAATGACTCTTTTAGTAAATCATTTAAATTCAGCATTAGTAAATAGACAGGCAATGTATTTCATTTTTGAGCAATATGGACATTATATCTAAAATGTACCCTAATGAATCATCATCTAATCACATTGAAAGCTTGTGAATCAGAGCTGAACTAAATCTGAACATGTTGATCGATACTCAACCTTATTCACTTTATCTTGATAACTCCCCGTTATTGAACACATTCACTGGTGGCATAAAACAAATCAATTGCAATGTGTCGGCATAAGTCCAAGATGACTGGAACATTGGCCAGTGTAACATAAATATTGACTAAGTCTTGTTTCTGTATACACTCACAGACCACTTTATTAAGTGCACTTTGGTAGTTGGAGCCCCTTTTGCCTTCTCAATGCCCTAATTATTTGTGGCATAGATTTAACAAGGTGCTGCAAACACATTGGTCTACACTCAAATAATAGCATTCCATGGTTCCTGCAGATTTGTCAGCCAACATCCATGATGGTAATTAAGAAATTCTGTCTTTAATCCAGGATTTCATGTGTCTGAGTCAAATTCTGGCCCTACCATCCTACCATCATAATGTAACAGCAGAAATCAAGACTTATTAGACTAGGCAAATATTTTCCAATCTTTTATTAATTTTGGGAGACCATGTGAACTGTAGCCTCAGTTTTTTCAGCTCATCTTCTGCTGATGTAGCTCATCTGCTTCAATGTTGCACATGTTCAGAGAAGCTCTTCTGTGGGCCTCGGTTGTAACAAGTGGTTATTCTAGTTACCGTTACCTTTCTATTAGCTTGAACTAAATCCCAGAATATCAACAGTATCTAACTCAGACCAGCAAACCAAAAATCATGCTAATTTCATGGTCATTTCAGTCACTTAAATGACACTTTTTTGCATCTCATTCTCTGTGTATATGCATAAATGCACTGAGTTGCTTTAATATGATTAGCTGATATATTCACAATAACAAGCAGGTGTACTTTATAAAATGGCAGATGAGTGTAGTGTATCAGTACAATTTCAGCATTAAGTCAGCATTTCAGCATTCTGCATTTTTCTCACACTCTCATATACTTATGCAGAACATTAGGGTTAAAAATCAGAAACCAAGATCCTGCCCATATTCACATCTGAATGCGATAAATTCATTAAAAACAAACTCTGCTTATTACCAATCTACAACCTTTTCAATGAAATTCAAGCTAAAATTCACATAAAATTCAATGATATTCAATGAAATTCAAACTGAATTCAGGCTTAAGAAAATGTCTCTTCATTTTTAAATGTCTGTTCAGTTGAACAGTGCCCTACAGTGCCCTCACACGCTTATAGTGGCATTGATCTTGTATTATGGCTGTTTTAATTATGTGAATTTTGCGTTCAATCAGGCAGTCAAATATTAAGATTGGTTTTTATCCTTGTTATTATTCATTTTCTTACTACAAGATTTCTCAATTTCAAATATGCACCTGAAATTAACAAACATACATACTAATATAGTTATTCAGATTTTCTGTGTTGCCTGAATTTGAGAAAAAATATACTTAATTATAAAAACTAAAAAAGGTGACGCAGTGGCACAGTAGGTAGTGCTGTCGCCTCACCGCAAGAAGGTCTCTGGTTCGAGCCTCGACTGGGTCAGTTAACATTTCTGTGTGGAGTTTGCATGTTCTCCCTGCGTTCGTGTGGGTTTCCTCCGGGTACTCCGGTTTCCCCCATAGTCCAAATACATATGGTACAGGGGAATTGGGTAGGCTAAATTGTCCGTAGTGTATGAGTGTGAATTAGTGTGTGTGGATGTTTCCCAGAGATGGTTTGGGCTGGAAGGGCATCAGCTAAGTAGAAACGTGCTGGATATGTTGGCGGTTTGTTCCGCTGTGGCGACCCCGGATTAATAAGGGGACTAAGCCAACAAGAAAATGAATGAATGAATAAAAACTAAAAAACTATTTTTTGATTAGTCCAACTGGTTTTTTAAATGAATCGCTTATAGGGCACCTATGATGAAAATCATCTTTTGTAAGCTGTTTGGACAGAACTTTGTGTAGGTATAGTGTGCCCACAGTCATTTTGGAGTGAGAGAACCACAATAAGTTTTTTAAATTTCCTAACGTTAAAATATAATCCATATCTCTACTATTTAGAGGCTCACAGCAACTTGACATAGGAGAGCAGTCACCCCGCCCACCAAATTGATTGACAGCCACGTATTAACATGACAGGACATGCGCAAAGCAACTGTAATTAAAAGATCTGTTCAGCCCTCTGTGATCATCAATCATCATCAAATGTGATCAAGAATGAGTTTTACAAGTTTAAAACGTTTTTCAAACAGTGCATGTTTGTAATGAATTACAGCAATTTTACCATCTTTACTTTATCACCACAGCCGCATGTGAGTACAATTACAAAAGAAGTCGAAGTCGTGTATCCTGTCACATTTGCAGTGCAAAACAGTGGAAAGTTAACCTTGTGCGCTGTGTTTGTGTATCCACTTTGTGTGTGCGTGCTTGAACTTTGTAACGACATTGTGTGTGACTCATCATTGCAACTCCTCAACAAATACATCAAATAATAATCATTGGGATAGTTCTTACTGTATTATTTCTCACAAACGTTACGTGAGATCTGCTTTCTTCATGTCTGTCACTGTGCTGTTTATCTGAAAGACACATGGGAAGGATTAACATTAAAGGGTACAGGCACCAAAACACAGCTACATAGTGTTAAGAGCAGACAATTCCAATGTTTTAAGAGGTATAATAAACAATCTGATGGGTGTTTTGAGGTGAAACTTTGCAGACACATTCTGGAGACACAAAAGACTTACCTTAAATCTTGAAAAAGCGGTAAAATAGGTGCCCTTTAAAATTAAGCGGTACGAACAGTACTGAATCAGTTGTATTGTATGTGAGCAAAATTGACATTATGATGGAAAAATATGCTAATGAATAGGCTTCAAATAAAAAAAAATATATATAAGTTCATAAATCAGAATTAAACTAAAAATGTTTGATAATGAGCCCTGTATTTCCTTATAAACTCAGTTATTGAACATATTCACTCATGGAATAAAACATACATTTTGCATGCTGCTGGTATACTTCACTGTGTATTTAAGACGACTGCAACATTAGCCTGTTATATATTAAAAAAAACTGTACACTTGTGAACTTGTACCATTACATGCTTTCCTGAACATCATCCTGATGACGTATCTGAAGGTGAGATAAAGGGTACAGCTGAATATCCTTATCTGCCCCTCAGCTAGAAAACAGGCATGGAAATTAAGAGCATTTTCAGGCCTGTGTGTTATTTTTTTAGCACAGATTATAGTACAAAACCTTTTTTGTTTTACCATAGGGAAAACATCTTTTCATCTGTATTTTTTCAGAAGAAATACAAAGACATCTTTCTGTGAAATAATACAGCTGTACCTACAAATACCTACATATTTACTGCATGTTCAAGCAGGTTAATAACTTATATGGGTGAGTGGGTGGTATAAAACTTAGCAATAAAATACATTCTGAGACAGATACTGTACGTGCAAGGTTATAAGAATTCATAAAACCTTCCAAGAGTAGGGGAGTATTTCTTAAAGTTGCCTCTAAAGAGTGTGTGTCATTGAATGTGGGTTTACACACAGCGGTTAAGGACAGTACACTCATCGGCTAAATACAGTCTGAATGGAGGCATTTATGGAGGATTTTAAAAAGCTCTGTGATATTAATAATGTAATAAAATTAAGCCTGAATTTTGCATGGCTTAAAACTTTATCAAATCGTATCAGAACTTTTAAGAACTTTAACTGTAAACAAAGCATGCAGTTCTTAGCAATAAAGAAATGCACCTAGTTCTCTTGTATATATAATTGGGATGTTTTTTTTTCAGAGTTTAGGAGATGAGTAAAAAAGATGCTGGTTGAGAAATGTCAGACTAAGCTGTTTTGCCATAAACTCTTTGACGTGGATGGAACTTTTAAAGTCTATAAGCATTGGCAGAACACCAGTGTTTCCATTAAAGGTATTGCTCAAATGGACTGTATAGCAGATTCGAGCTCTAAAATTGGAAGAGAAATGCTGTACATGTGAGTTTGCAGCTGTCTGCAATTGGGCTGATTTGTGGATGTTTAAAACCCACCAATTTAGTAGAGAACACATCATGCATAAACAGTATGCTGTTGTACACTGTAATTATTTGACTATCAAATTGCCTCATAAACACTTTTCTTTGACTGAATACAAACTGTATCTCAATTTTAACAACAAATGACAGACGCATGAGTTAAATACTACAATAAGCTTTAAGGGACGATTCTGTAATTATACTCACCATCATGATCTTCCAAAATGGTACATGTCATAGTTTTCTGAAAAAAGTAAATAAAGGGAAAGTAAATAAGGATCAGCAAACATTTACATTAAGTCACTATTTTTGAATCTGAGCATTGATGTGAATACTTTTTTTCAGTACATAATGTCTGTTCTCAAATGTATTGCATTCAGAGATGTATTGCTCAGACATGACTTTCGTGGCATAATATGAATATAATAAATACATATATATATATATTTTATTATATAATTTATATTTTATTATATATTTTATATTTTAACTTTTTTATTTTATTTTATTTTATTTGTTTTGCTTTTCTTGATTTTGTAAATTTTTTTTGTGGTGTAAAAATGCCCTTAATTTGTTTTCATTAAAGAAAAAGTGTTGTGGTCTTGAAACAATTACCTTTTATTTATTGTCCCATATATTCTTTAGCTAAGAACAATAATTTCACTTTACAAGACCTCAATATGGGTGATTTGGTGGCTCAGTGGGTAGCACTGTTGCCTTACAGCAAGATGGTCGCTGGTTCGAGCCCCAGGTCAGTTGGCATGTTCTCCCTGTGTTTGCATGGGTGTCCTCCGGGTGCTCCGGTTTCCCCCACAGTCCAAAGACATTCGGTACAAGTGAACTAAAAAAGCTAAATTGGCCGTAGTGTATGTGTGTGTATGTAAGTGTGTATGGATGTTTTCCAGTGCTGGGTTGCAGTTGGAAGAGCAAAACATATGCTGGACAATTTGGCAGTTCATTCCGCTGTGGAAACCCCTGATTTTTTTTAGGACTAAGCCTAAAAAAAATGAATAAATATATATTAAGGAGGAGCCACTAGTAGCCTACTTACCGTTTCACGTGTACATAAAACAATACTTATTTTTGCTTTCTTATTTTTACATTTTGGATGGCCTCAGTTTGAATCAATTAACAGCAATCTGTTCTTTTTGAGTGAATTATCCCTTAAAGATATTATTTACCCTATATTTCAAATTGGAATATTGGTATACCAAAGTAATACCTAAAGTAGACCTAGTATTATGGTGTCAGGGGACGATAAACCCTTATGTTTGAGCAATTGCACTGTTATTACACTGATTCTGTCTTAACATTATGGTGCTCTAGTTACTTTGAATTAGTTTAGAACTGAAAATTTAGTTCAGCAATGATGTCACTAACAAGTGACATCATTACTACCGGAGAAATCACTGTCTTCAGTTTCGTGTGTCCATACCGCGCGCAGTGCAATCGATGGGATGAAATGCGAATGACGCATACAGGTTGAGGATTTCCTCCCCACACATGAACGCGTGACGTCCACTCCACTCCACCGCACCTTTAACTTTCCCAGCAGGCGAAGCCTCGTACCCGGGTATCCGACAGGCTGCTTACACGACTTCTCTTTTGCGCATGATACTGCGGTTCCGACGCCACTTCACGCTCCAACTCACCTTGAAACGCGGTGCTCTCGGCTTTTACATGGAGAGCGACGGAGAGGCGACCAATCTCCGCCCCGACGCCTCCATCACTGGCCAATGAAATTCAAGCGGGGGCGGAGCTAACAGCTAAATTGTCATGCTTGGTTTCACGCTGGCATTGCCATCGAGCCGCGTCTGGCTGCCGTGCGCTGGTGCAGGTGCTCTATTTCATCGAGAGAGGATGCGAAAGGAAAGAAGGGGAGGGAAAGAATGAAGGGAACCGTCGGAGAAAAGTATGCAGGGCATGAGTAAAAGGGTCTCAGCAGCTGACAGCGCGTCTAACGACCAGGGGCTCGGCTAAGAATGATTTATTGAAAGGGGCACTTTGAGATATGATGAGGTTTCTCTCTGGTTGGCAATAGTACTATGATTTGGTATGTGGCCACTTTGATAGCAAGTGTATTCAGCACCAGAGGAACAGCTGCTCAAGGTGAGTCGAAGTGCAATTTATTACATACAGCCTTAAGTTTGTTGTGGAATATTGCTGTGGATATTTTCCAGTCATTGATATTATTCCTGAGATTGTGTTTATTTTTCGGAATAATATTTAAATCTGGTAAAGTTGAATATTTTAAAGTGGACAACACTACAGTTCTAGCCATTTTTGAAGGGTTGCATTTTTTATTTTTATGCTTGAATAATGCTAAATCACTGGTTTGTGATATAATAGTTGAAAATCTAGTTTATATAAGTCACATGAGCTTGCAAAATTGGAAAATTTGAGCTGTTGCTGCCTATTTCATCCATATTAACCAATTGTTCTCCAAGCGTGTATATACTTCACATTAAGTATGTTTTATGACACTAAAGGGATTGATCTCCTCAAAACATGCATTTTACATCATTTGCAGACCCTCAAACATGTATGACTTTATTTGCTGAATACAAATTGAGATTTAGTATTCAGTTTCAATGCATATATTTGGTGTCTAAGTCTTTCTGTCATATAGGATTTTCCACCCCATGTCATGATATCAAGTAAATTGTGAACTGTACCTTTAAAGTCTATTCATATACATGAAAAACTTTAACTACACATCTTAAGGTGCTTTGACTGGGAATATGCATCGATGGTATGATGCACAGTAGTAGTATTATATCAGTCCATTTGGGTGCTTAATGATTGAATGACTTTTTGAATATATCTCTAAACCTTGCTCAGATGGCTTTAGCTCATTAAACCCGAGAACACTCTAAGATGGCTATCATAATTTCAATTCAGCTTCTTCTGTAAATCTGATCGACCTTCAGACTAGTTTAAAGTGGTGTCTTTATTTCAAATGTTGGGCTGATGGACTCACATAGCCCTGCAAATTCAATTTCATCCACTAGAGGGCTGCTTACTGATGATCATCCAGTCTTTGGTCACATTTTGAGAACTTTTCCCATTGCATGCCTGCACTGTGAATAATTACACATTTCCCAAATCACGACAGACATCACACCTGGCTTGAAAATCGTTGAGTATATGCCAATTCTGATTTCTATATTCAAAGAGCATAGCAAGATCATCCCACATCTCTGAACTTGAGCTGTGTCATCCCCTCTAGCTGACAGTGAGACGTCTTTCACCTTGGTGTTCTGACTGTGCACTTTGCTTCATCCGCTCAGTGTCTCCCTCCTGTGTGTCAGAGCCACGCTGCAGAATCTCAGCCCCAATGCAGCTCTTTCCCTGCCCTGGCCCTGCCGTCTCAAGCTGTCAGCTGGCAAACATGCCCACAATCACCGGGTACAAACCTGGACGTGTGCCAGATCTCTGCTTTGTAGTTCTGTCTAAACAGAGAACTCAGACGCAGCTGTCTGAGAGCCATGAGCTGATGCATTGCTTCAGGAAGGCCCATTGCTAACCGACCACTCTGAACTTGTTGAGACCTCCAGCCAATCACCTCAGGAACAGCACATCTTCCTTTGTGATTAGAGCATAAGCCCAACATCTGTCCTCTGTTAAGCTTGTTTTGCCAAATCGGCATGTCTGTACGAATGTCATTTTGGCAGTTGCTCAAATTGGCCTAAATATATCTAGACTATTACCAAGGGGGCTTATACAGTAACTTCTATAGAGCTATTGGATAGTGTTTCAATGACCTTAAAAGATTTGTGCCAATCACCTGAGCCCTAAAGGACAATATTATATTATATTATATTATATTATATTATATTATATTATATTATATTATATTATATTATATTATATTATATTATATTATATTATTCATTCATTTTCTTTTCGGCTTAGTCCCTTTATTAATCCAGGGACGCCACAACGGAATGAACCGCCAACTTATCCAGCAAGTTTTACACAGCGGATGCCCTTCTAGCTGCAACCCATCTCTGGGAAACATCCACACACACTCATTCACATTCATACACTACGCACAATTTAGCTTACCCAGTTCACCTGTACCGCATGTCTTTGTACTGTGGGGGAAACCGGAGCACCCAGAGGAAACCGACGCGAAAGCAGGGAGAACATGCAAACTCCACACAGAAACGCCAACTGACCCAGCCGAGGCTCGAACCAGCGACCTTCTTGCTGTGAGGCGACAGCACCACCTACTGCGCCACTGCGTCACCATATTATATTATATTATATTATATTATATTATATTATATTATATTATATTATATTATATTATATTATATTATATTATATTACAGTATATTATATTATGTTATATTATATTACAGTATTTTATTCATTTATTCATTAATTTTCTTTAATCTTTAATCTCATTAATCTTTCTTTTTTTTATTAATTTCTCGCAAAAAAATGTTTACTAAAATGTAGAAAATAATTAAAATAATTTAATATATGACACAAATATTATTATATTATAAATGGTAATTTATTTTGTAGCAATGGAAGTTTTTTAACAGTAGTTTATAAATGTGTTTATTATTATTATTATTATTATTATTATTATTATTATTATTATTATTATTACAACCTTTATTTTACCAGAAAGATACATTGAGATTAAAAATCTTTTTATAAGAGCGTCCTGGCCAAGATTAGGCAGTACATGTCACATGGGTCAAACATACAACAAACAAAAAACAATTAACAGCTAACACGAATCACACATTGACAAACAAACTATTCAAAACATCTTTAAGTCTGAGTTTCAATTTTTATATCATTTATACTCCTCATAATCGTTTAGTCATCTTTTACAAAAATGCATTTATTAAATGTAGAAAATAATTTCAATAACTTAACATATAACACAAATATTATTGTTATTATATTATTCATTCATTCATTCATTCATTTTCTTTTCGGCTTAGTCCCTTTATTTATCTGGGGTCGCCACAGTGGAATGACCCGCCAACTTATTCAGCAGTGTTTTACACAGTGGATACCCTTCCAGCTACAACCCATCACTGGGAAACACCCATACACTCTCCTTCACACACATACACTACGGACAATTTTAGCTTACCTAATTCACCTATAGCGCATGTCTTTGGACTTGTGGGGTTCTATTGTCTTTGAAACCGGAGCACCTAGAAGAAACCCACACGAACAATGGGAGAACTTGCAAACTCTGCCAATTGACCGAGCCGAGGCTTAAACCAGCGACCTTGCTGTGAGGTGACAGTGCTACCCACTGTGCCACCGCGCCGCCCTATATATTATATTATATTATATTATATTATATTATATTATATTATATTATATTATATTATATTATATTATATTATATTATATTATATTATATTATATTATATTATATTATAATGTTGATATATTATATTATATTATAATTTCTAAAGATTACATTTTAGCCCCCATGATGTTATTAGTTTTTTTTTTTTTTTTTTTAAGTACTGAGCCCAAAATTTTTAACATTTTCATACAAACATATTACATTGCATTCCACTGCATTACATTATATTTCCAGTGATTAGATTTCATCCTCCATCATGCCATAATTGCATCATCTATGAGAAAGGTCTTACAGACCTGGCTAAACCAGCCAAATTGTGACTCCTAGTCATGCTTGAACAGGATATGATTTGAGCTGATGTGGATACATATGAAATGATGGTGATTTGTTTTAGCAGTTAGCACCTGCTAGCAGACTAGATTGTGCCGAGTTCTTAACCCCAAGGCAGTGCTGATGTAGTTGCCAGCTGGAAATGTTGAATCCAAAGAAAGCTCGCACTGGAGGTTTGCACCCGACTCTATGTTTCACGGAAAGCCTGTTAGAGGAGGGCTGGCGGGGGACCTGACAGCTGCTCATTTTTAAGGGGTGTTGGATAACATTGGATGTGTTTTCCAACAGTCATCACTTTCTCTTTCATCCTCCGGCTGTGATGGCTTGATCCTTATCCAGTGGAATGATATGTATGCCTCTTCCCCGTGGAAAATTTTAAATTGTTTATATAACAAACAAGCTGCCTGTCATCACATCTGGCTTGGCTTTCCGGTACAATGTAAATGAGCATGTTAATAGAGTTTTTATTGTGTTTTAGTACTGCAAATAGCGAAGAATGGACACTTAAATTGTTGTAAATCTACTCATTGACTCTCTTGACAGATACTTCCAATGTCTTGTAATTATGATTTATAATGTCAGCCATAATCCAGCCAAATCCACGCCAGGCATTCCAATCAAACAATGAAAAGCAGCTGACTTACGCTGATTGCGTGGAAAGCTGCAGAATGCGAACCACAGAGGGCACAGCTGAGGCAGCCAATTTCCAAATGCATTTTGTTGGCTCCAGTGATTCTGAGTGAGGGGGAATGCTCTGGACTTTGAAGAACACAGTGGAATTACAACTAATAGAACACAAACATTTTTAAGTCACTTTTTATTTGATTTTACGCACTTTTGCACACAAGCCAGGGCACAAGGGGGCACACAAGTTGGACTGAAACCCGAAATGTTCATTGCCAAATATAACATTTAATAAATAAATAAAACAACCTAAGTGAAAATTAATTTTTTTAACATGAACCCATAAAGAATGTTACATTTAGTTTCTTTTATAATTGATTTTGGGTTTTTTTATTTGTTTTTTAACTCTTTATTTACTGGTTTTAGTGAACATACAAACATAAACAAAAAAGGACAAAGGGAAGGGTATCAGCAAGTATAGCAACAAAAGTCAGAGAGAGAAAAAAAATATAATAATAATAATAATAATAATAATAATAATAATAATAAATAAAAATACAAACAGAATACAAAATTTATAATACACAAATAAAGTAATGTTGTGATTAAGGTCACACATATTATGCAAAATACATCAGAAGTCTTCATAGAGTGAGAGGTTCATTAGAGGCATCCATATAGGCATCCATATTTTTTGAAAGGCATTGTTTCTTAAGTACTATGTATATTGTTCCAAGAGCATTGTTTCATTTCTAGAGTTGTATGAACAGTTCAAATGTTGGAGGTCTTTGTTGGTTCCAGTTGA